GAAAAGCGTCAACTTATTTAGTAGCGGTGGCATAGCAACTAGGTTCCATCATCATCACTATTATACACGTTAGCTAGAGGTGTAAAAACACCACAGCTACTATGCCGCAATACATAAAAGAAAAAAGGAAAACAGAGGCAACAGTTGCATGCCAGATGGGCTACCAGTAACGGATAGGTATCGTTTCGGAAAGCTAGTAGCCGGCTACTACGCAACAAGAAAAATTATGATGTAAACTTACATCCGCCTCCAGGTTGGAGGCGGAGGCTAAAAGGGATGGGGAGAGACAAAGAAACTCACATCAGGAACACCACTGAGGTCGGCTCCTGGCCATGTCAGAAGTGTATCTAGCCAAAGGTGTTCAACGTCTATCGGGCCCCAACCAAGGAGCCGTGAAGCTCCAACCGAGGCCAGCTTCGAAGTGAGGACCTTCATTCCTCTCGACCAAGACATCGCCTGTCAACCTCTCCTCTTCTTCCATCCACATACCCGGCGAGCAAATGCACGTCGCCGGAGCAGGTGGGCTGGCATGCGTAACAAGTGACTGAGCCATTGGAGCCTTGTACGTGAAATGACGTCGCTGAGCGGTTCAGTTCCTTTGCAAGTGCCGTAAACAAGGCGTCGAACAAGCTCGTTGCTCACGCGATGTTCCCATTAGATGTGAGCCAAACTGCGAACGCACCGATGGTCGAACACAACTAGCCACTTTATGTCCGCTGATCTAAAGGGCCGGGTTTCACAACTGTCCCGTGGGGTCGAACGTACCGCTGCATTGTGCACTCTACCCTTCAGGGCGAGCGTGATGTCGCGCCGCCGCCATATGTGGGGAAGTCTAGCAAAAGCATCTCGAGCTTTTGCTATACGGTTCGTGATGTCAGCTTCGATCCCAAGGGCGTTGACACAACTTCCAGGTAGTTGAAGTTCGGAACGAATGCTAGCTAATTCCCACCAAGGGTCAGCGCATGAGGCGATCCCTACCAATCTTGGTGGAAAGCTTTGCACTTCGAAGGCGCAAAGAAAAGCCCGAAGCGGTTGACAACCAGTACTAATCTGTCCAGTGCACCTTGGCACGTCTGGGAGCTGTCACAGATGAGGGCGATAGCGTCTACATACTCCAAATCAACAATTCGTTCAGCTAGGAGTAGCTCCACACTTTCTAAGTCGTGTCCTGTAAATGTAATATCCATGACTTCATCAATAGCAAAGTTGAAGAGAAAAGGTGAAAGTGGGCATCCTTGTGTCACACCACTGGGGATACTGAAGGGCGGCGACAGCTTGCTATAAGACCGCACTCTGCCCGTGCTACGCGCGTATAGTGCTCGGATAACATTTACTTGTTTCTCGGGCACACCTTTCCTGAGTAGACAGTCCCAAAGGGCACATCGATCAACATAATCGAAGGCACCTTTAATGTCGAGGAACACGACAACGATGTGTGTGACGGTGCTCCAACAATTGACGCAAAGTGAAAATGTGGTCGATGCAGGCACGACCCCGACGAAACCCGGCTTGCTCCTCGCGAATCTGGCTTCCACGGGCGTCAGTCAGTGAAGGATTACAGAGACAAGTAATTTAGAGGCAATGGGGATCAGATTGATTCCTCTATGGTTGCCGTATTCCGAAAGTGAGCCTCCTTTTAAGATCGGAACAACAACGGAGCAACTCCAGTCGGTTGGGACAATTTACTTTCCCACAGTTTCCCTAGTAATTCGTGTAAATCATCAACAAGAGCGGGGCCCCAGAATTTGAAGAGAGCTGGATAAAGATCGTCTGGTCCAGAAACTTTGTTTAACTTCAACAGTCCGATCTCACGTTTGACTTCTGAGCGAGGGCGGATGCAAAGGGACATCCCAGAGAGCAGGGCGATCACTGACCGGTGAGGAATTGAAAAATGCCGGCCGATTAAATTGATTTGCAAAATGCTCAGCCAAACGCTCCAGAAGCGTTGACAAGTTGTGGATACGCTGTCCACTTTCGTCATAAACCGTTTCAAAACATCAGGTTCCCTGCTTCGCGTTTCCCGTACCAGACGGAATAACTTTCGATAGTAACTAAGGTAAGCGGACATTTCCATCTCTGACACACGAAGAAACCACCAGGATTCGCGGTCTCTCTTCAGGCTAATACGGAATTTTGCCCGGAGCTCATTGCGAGTTTCATTGTGTCCGCTTCTAAGCGGAATGTGCCGGCGAGCATCGATAAGTTCCAGAACCGCGAAGAGACCCAATGTCCATGTCAGCTACTACACTTATCACGTGAAGATTTGCCAGCTGGTGAACATGCGACTAGTAACCTAAAATTGTCTCCAGTGAGCGCTTACTAAACCCGCATGTCAGCGTAGTACGAGATCAAATCAGAACAGTTGGTTTTGCCAGTTGACTGGTGTCAATGCGCCCACAGCGTCATCGTGGGCGTAAGCCAAAAGGCATCCACAGGTCAGCACATGCAAGTGCATGGTCGGTGTCCACACCAGTGCTCCAAATCGAGCGACAGTTCTGGACGCAGTCCCTCCATCGGTAACTTATCGCAATGTAATCGGTTCGCGTCTATAGATGGTTCGAGGCTGGTGGGCGCCAAGTCACCCTCCGGCGGGTGCTGTGTCGGAAATTAGTGCTCGCAAGAAATAAGCGGACATCTTCACACAAATGAAATAACTGCTCACCGTTATCATTACGGGAGCCTACACCGTGCTGACCGCCCAGATGCAGTTCATCAGTGGATAACTTTCTAACTTGAGCCTTCAGATCTCCGCCAGCACAACAGTGTCCAAGCTTCTTCTGTGACGAAGCAGCTGTCAGTTGGCGGTAGAAGCCCTCTTTCACCGAACCATCGCTAGAGTTTGTGGGTGCATAGGCAGCGATGACGAATAGACACCTGTTGGTCCCGCGCGACTTCAAAGCTTTGAACCAGCCAGCCAATGCGACCGCAAATCTCCGGCTAGTGACTGGGGTCCTATCAACCAGAGCAGCTTCAGCCCAGGGACTCAGGGCAATTCCAACACCAGCTTGGCCGGTGCTCGAAGCTGCATCGTCACCGGATAGGCGCAATGAGAAAGTGCTGCTGGTGTCACCTGAAGGGGATAGCAGAGTGAGCACAGAGCTCAAGTCTTGCAGGCAGGACTCCGATAAGCAGCAGATAGCGATCGAGAGGGTCTAATGTCTGCTGCCTGTTGAGCGATCTGTAAGTAGCAATGTGCGTACAGTGAGGCATACCAATCTGAAGGCGGATCGAGGGCTCCAAATGGAGATCCATGAACTGGGGTGGACCGCTTGGTTGGACATGGGCTTGTCGATAGGCCAGGAGTGACGCTCCGCGTTTGCATGAGTTGAAACTAGAAGATAAAAACCTAGCAAAGCATGTTGGGGAGGGCCAAGAATCGGTAGGTTGAAAACTGGGGAAATAAAATTTGAAATGCGACAAGGGTGAAAAAGCGAAAGAAGCGGGACAAGAAGACGGGAAGGCTTGAGCAGTAGCAAATGCTGCACCCTGCTCAATGCAGCAGATAGGGCACCGTTGATTATCATCTGCGACAGTCAGAGCGTCAAGAAACTGTTCGAAAGGAAATTCAGTGTATTGCGTGGGTAGAATACTGCCAAGTTGCCGAGGCCTAGACAAGAGAACGATAATTATTCTCAACCTAAGCACTTGGTTCAAAATCCTGACCGCAAAACAGCGGATTTTTAGTGGGCTACAAGGAGTCTGTTATAAGGAGTAAGGGGCCACCCTCATTCCAATACCCAACCTGGAGAACCAGGAAGCTGAGCTTGTCTGGCCTCTAACCATTGACCAATCTGGTATGAGTGGTTCTGAAGGTGTAAAAATGCACCAACCAGCATAGCTCAATGGATCTCTGAGGCACGCAAACCATCGCTCCACAGTAAGGTCCAGCTTCATTTGACCTAGCAGAACTTCTAACACAAGGTTGAAAGACAAGGTGATACACTAACCCCGATGTACTTCATCTGTCGTGGACAACTCAAGGGAGTTCCCTCTAAATCCTAACATCATCATGAAAGTCGCTGAGACAGAGGGAATTCTCAGTCATGCAATTCAGAGTAATGCACCTTCAAACAGGTATGATCAGATGGTAGACAGCCTCCAATTCAAATACCGTAAAGGAGTAGAAACTCGGGCTAGGAACTGAGATTGTGATCTAACCCACTGCAACAGATTAAAGGGCAAAAGACATGAGTAGGATCATGCAGTTTACACTAGGATATTTATAGATACAAACTGCGGAATAACAACAGGCTAGTAAGTAAGTAAGTAAATGCAAACATGCAAATGGGCAGGGGCATTCCGTTTCCGTGCTTCTTCAAAGCTAACGATCGAACACTGACAATTGAAAAACAACAGGTGAAACAGTAACTTCGCAAAAAGGAGGGACAACGATGGACTTGAAAGTGTCGTGTGGATCATACACTGGTACACCATTTCGTCCGGGAAGTGTAGAAGTGGATAGCTAGCAGCATCATATCCCACTAAGCATCGCACAAGTGCAGCAGCTGCGCAGATGGTTTCGGGAAATTCTACTGAGATGTGTAAAGCAGCAAATCCCTAAATCAAGCGGAAAAATATCTCAGATTTAACACTTGCGGTGTTACGAGCATGGAAGTATACACGGTTTCGCGTGAGGTACCAACAAAAGGATGGCGGAGGAGAGGAGACATCTGATGACGCGCACGGACGAATCAAGTGTGTTCTCCTAGTATTAAAGACAATGATGGGTTTAAATGGAAGTGCGGCGAGTGGAACAATATACGGCGCAGGCACGGAAGGCTTAAGGTAAAAATATCAGAAATCATCGTGGGAAAACCGGAGTTCACGACACTGTCAAAAATAAAGGAATTATGAGCGAAAAGGTGAGCGGCTGCATCACGGATATTGAATTCATAGCCACTACAAATAAAAAATGAGGCGCCCGTATAAGTAAATGAATAAAAGTTAAATTATAAATCGTAAAAACAAGCCAAAATGAACGCAAACAAAATTTTCCTCACCGGACACACATTTGGAAACAGATGGAGAGCTATTCTTTAATAGTTCCTCGTACTTCAAAATGTCGCTCTGATCAATTAATTTCTGCTCTGTGCAGTCTTCTAGCCGATTCCAGTTGGTAATCTCTGCTGGACTCAGAAAAACCACCTTCGTGCGCTTCTTGAAGCCCAAGGGCCCGACAGCGCCACCAAACACAGCACCTGGACCTCCAGGGGTGCTTGGTAAGCTCATATCAGGTCTTCTTACTATAGGCCCAGGCTATTTTCAAGGTCACCAGAGCCCAAAACCCATCTTTTACACGAAGCCGCGAGTCTGCAGTTCAAAATAAATGCAAACATTTAAACAAAGGAGGAAGTAAAAATGTTGCTGGCACACTAACAATAATATTTTTTAAAGCACCGCAGGGCAAACGACCTAATAAACTGCATTATACCCCACTGCGGTACACTGAGCCACAATTTACTCAGGCAGACGACTGTTGAATGTATGATGAGCTTCTGGGTTAGTAAGTATATTTTAAATGATTCGTCATTAAATTAGCCTGTAACATGGATATAATGAGTCTCGAAAAATCGTACCTTGCCGTCTGCCCATCGTAATGACGAGCATAATTTAGTAACAAGTTCAAGTTCAGTTGGGATCTGAACGATAGGATGAGCCCGTGAGTGTTCCTTATTTATGCATCGTGGGATCGGGAATTGACAGGTCTGCGTGGGAGCTTAAAAGTCCTAAAACAGGGACCGGATCACACCCTGTCTAACCAATTACTGCCCACATTTTCCTGTCCAGCAGTCCCTGCCAGGCCGGTTTATGTGTAGTAAAAGATTGAAGGGTAAAGTATGAAAACAAGAAGAGAAATGTCAGCTGAATAATGATAATACCAAAAGGTAAGAAGAAATTAAGAAAGTGTGCAGGGAATTTGAAGCTCAAGTCGGTTAGGAGAAGGGGAAGGTTTAGTACTGTTACCCAAGATTATCTAACCGACGCTCGAAACACTCTACCGTAGACTCCCTAACGACGTGCTCGGGAAGGAGGGTTCCAGCGTTCAATGATTCAGCGAGACTAAGACGTTTCCGTCCTTTTCCGTTAATACGCAATTTGTACAGCTTCGACAAGTGACCTCGGCGATTGGGCAACTTAGCAGGACTAAATAGCCAGGACATGTCTGGACCGATCTTACCCGTTAAGCTACCGTAAGTGAGAAGCACTTTGCCTCTAATTCTGCAGTAGTACATTGAGTGCATATCCAAGCTGAGCCAACGTTCGGGTTAGGTTTGCCCCCGCAGTCCTTGCACTAACCTTGTACCCACTCGCAATACCCGCTCCAGTTCCACTTTCTCAGTTACAAGACAAGGTGGACTAGCATGGATACAGTAATCTAAATGAGGTCGCACAAAAGCTGAAAACAGCTTTACAAAGCTTTTGGACGTTAGGACACCGAAGGAGCGTCGAATAAACCACATCATCCGGAGCCCTCCACAAGTAGCCTTCTTCCAACTGTCCCCAGAATGAAGCAATTAGGTGTGGGTAATACCTTGATCGAGCTGCTGGTTGAAAACAGGGAGTACACTTCCAACAACCGCATATTGAGTGGGAGGACTAGCACCTCCAAAATGGAGGACAGAAGATCTCGCCTGCGTTATATGCATCAACTAAAAAACCAACCAATCCCAGAACTCTCCAAGGCACTCTGAAGTGCCTCAGAGCCACCAGGGCTCTCCTCAATATTCCGGAGCTTGAGGTCATCAGCAAACAATAAACGCGGTACTTCAAGCTGCTGGGGTAGGTCGTTGACCTAAATTGCGGAAAGCAATGGCTATAGAACCAAGCCCTGCCGAACGACCCTAAGGAAAGCTTGTCTAAGCGAAAGCCTACACCCCACGGGTACACACTGTTCTCTCCCTTTAGGAAAGCAGCGACCCATTTATGGGCGGCTCCACATATCCCATACGATCTTAACATCAACGACGATGGTTGATGTGGAACAGTATCAAAGTATTTTGAAAGGTCAACGAAAAGCACGTCGATCGTGTGACCGTTGTCTACTACCTCAGCCCAGCTTTCACTAGCCATAAGTAAATTTGTCAGGCATGAATCTCCTTTACGGAACCCGTGATGTACCGCACTCAGCAGGTTAAACTTAAACAGGTGATCCTTCACCGAATCCCTGATACTCTCTCTCCTACGCCCACTAGCTTCCGCTCTTCTTATCTTCCTCACTACCGAACCAATTCGCCGTATGCACCATGTCCCTTTTGCTCAGATGTTAAGCTTACTAGGATAAACTCCTTGTCTCTGCATCGTATATTCTCCTGGGATATCTGTATCACTTACCTCCGCTGGCTCACTGATGCTTTTAGTGACACTATAGGGATATACCAGTGACCAAGCGTCTGAATGGAATGGCTACATCTAGCCACTGGTGGTCCTTCCTAGCGCCACCATTGGACCGTCGTCTTAAATTCCGCACCCCTGTTTAGAAGTAGCTAGTGGTCATAGGCTCCATGAATACGCGATTATCCAGTGCCTGTTAAGATCCACTCCGTTTCTCAATACCCCTTATTCCTTTAGAATACCTCCATACAATCTTTCCGCTGCCTTACCGCCAATTGACCTTTAGATCACTCTCGGGGCTACCTATTTATTTTGCATTCTTATTCTGCGCTTTCTGTCGTGGTACGCTAGCTACTTACTTTTCATGCACCATGCAGTCACTACCAATATTCTAACGCACTTTGGCCTCTCCCCACACAATTTTTGGCTCATACTAAACCGATACTTGGTGGATTACTTATTGGTACAACTCGCTTGTCTCTACGCAGCCGTTAGCAATCCACCCGTGCGGCTAACCATTCTATAGGATCTTCAAATGGCACTTTCAGCATAATCATTGTTGCACAGTGTACATGTTTTTGTCACAACTCCAAATGTTGTAACATAAGACTTTAAAAATGTCTACCTCCACGCCTGTTCTTGCGTTCTTATCTCGGTCGTCCCTCACTTTCCCTTTTCTCCGAGGTCCAGAACTTCTTGGAGATCTGGGATTGGACTGAGGAACAGTTTTCTGCCAAGACGGACGTACTAACCGACAAGGACTTACATGGAACGTGGTTGAACACCAAAAGGACCCAACTACAACCACCACAACCCTTGTTCAGCATGGAGTGCTGGACACATCTTCATACTCCAATGAATTATACATCTGAGCAATCCAGACGGCAGAAAATTTGATGTTTTGCTCGATTAGACACCCAACGCGACGACTGTTCGCGGTGTTTGCCTCCAAAACACGCCTTAACACTCATGGCGGCCCGGACAATTTATCTGTCCAACTAACAGAGGAAATTAGGAGCCATTTGTCTGCGAATAACCGAATATGAATTCAGTCGTCAAGCGGCTTTGCCAGTTATACCTTAATGTTCAAAATGCTTTACGGTAGTGCTGCAGGACGTGGTAAGTATTGCCAGGCAAGCGTTCTCCCTATAAAAAGCCACTAATGTCTGTTTAACAACACTGCGACGTGGCGAATGTGAATCGCCACTGATTAAAGTCGTTGCCCACAAGTACATATTGGCAAGTCGACTAGACTCATAGTTCAACTTTTCCCGACACTTGCAAGTGTATGATACTCTCGTCTACATGCACCGTTTCATTGCACTTATAGTGCCTTGGCCGTTTTAACTACACATGATTGAACCCAACGTATCGTCATGATACACAACTGCTTATAAAACTTGCTCATGCCTGATTTTGTGTGTCGCTATAAATTTGAGAATAAACTAGTTTTTTATTCATTTGTGCATTTCTTATATGTGATGCAGGCGAGTAAGTGTCACCTGTTCAATTAACTACATTTTATTCAAGTGAAAGAACCAACAATCTTATGTCAGCAAAAGTTAAATCGGAAATCCTCTTATTTTGTCAACGTGTATTATGAAATAACTTGTGTTAAGTTATTTTGGTTATCTATCGTAGAAGGTTCAACGTAGTGCTGCTCAGAAGTAAAAATTGTGGAACAGTAGGAAAATCAATTGCTGGGTAAATGATGCAGTCAATGTTGCAGTCCTTATCTAGGCATGAGGAAGGCGTTAGCGGAAAAGCACACAGTAGCCAGTTCTTTAGCAATTGGTGCAACGCAAAGTAGGTTGTTGGTTGGCAAGCTAAAATTTAACCTGCAGGTTTAACTAACATAGTTTTGTTAGCTTGTCTAACGCAGTGACGGGAAATCCGTCGATTATCATAACGTGACGGATCCTAGGAAAAACAATTCAGTGCAGTGACTGGTAGTAAACATTGGATGGTTTTTAAAACGCGGAAGCACTGTATCTTTGCTTGGTGAATACAGCGGCAGCATGGGAGCACACAATAATTTGACTGGCTTTAGAGCAACAACCACGGTCTAAACGGTGGTTTACAACTTGGAAACTAATACTACTAATAGCGATGAAGCCAATGAAGTCTAGAGAATCTAGTGACACGAATAGGTAACCACCGACCTGCCACAGTGAATGCCTAACAAGGCTGCAATACTATTAATTTTTAAAGTGTACCCTGTGCTGAACATGTTATACGACTCATCAACTGCTTTTGTCAGGTGTGCATATTGGCGTATCCCAGGGATCTATGAGGTTAGAAAAGCCATTCCAGCATCTTTCGTGCAGTTTACCGCAATGATTAATGATACATGAAAAGGGATATTCATAGTTTTGTCCATTACTGACAAATGTGCTTGCAGATGACACTGGTGGTATTTGGCCGGAAGCATGACCAGATTATACTCCAACAACTAAAAGTAATGTAAGATAACTGAGCACTGATTCAGTAAAATGTTAAGCATAAAGTTAAGCATAATCAAGGACGTGAGAATACGTGCCGTCTCTTTTAGCTGACACAGATACAAGTAGCACGAGGTCGGGTACTTGGAAGCATGATCAAGCAGAAAATATAGAGAAACTTTAAAAAAGAACCGTAAACTTTTGAACGAAATATACCATAGGCGAATGCAAGGTTAAAAGAGCGCATCAGCAAACGGCGTCTAGGCAAAGCATGAAGCAGCAAATATTCCAGTGCTCTAGGTTAAAAAAAGTACGTTTAATTCAGTATGTTTATTATAGGCATCTAATAATAACGTAAGCGAAAACATAAATTAGAAAGGCAAGCATTTACCGAGTGCGCATCAAGTAGTCACCAATCTGGTGATCGGATAAAAATGAAGCGTGGGGATGATGAAT